GGAGACCCTTATGTATATAAGAAAAATGTTTATATACAAGAGCAATTGAATATTGAAAAAACATCCCAGCCCAGTCCAGATCAAGTTCATACATCTGATATTAGCCATATGCCCAATACCAATCAATAATGTCCTCTTCAGACTCATGAAACAAATGCAATGATGCCAAATGCAGAAAGATCACGGCCAGTAGGTGCAAAGTCTTGTGGATCCAGTGGTGGTAGAAGCATCTCAGTGCTGAAAGTGGTTTCCATGTGGCTCCTCCAGTTCCCAGGGCACAGGGTCTATCAGCATAGCACCATGTGTCTTGTCAGTAGAGCGTCTCTCAGGGAATGAGCAGAGAGCGAGTTGTCTTCCAAGTCAAGGAGGAAATGCAGGAGTTCCCAGAATTTTCAAGGGAAACCCATGCCCATACAGAGGCCTCATTGGCTATGACCGGGTTGACAGACTAGACTCCACCCCTTCACTCTTAATCCTCTCAAGTCCCAAATTGACACCAGATCATTGACTACCACAGAAGGGAATGCCCTTGTATTAGTCTGGGTACTTTGGAGAAACAAATCCACAGCGACTCACGTATAAGAGAGAGTTTTATGTAAAGAAAAGGTGCATCACGAAAACATCCCAACCCAATGCTGCCCAAGCCCACAAGTCCAACATTAACCCATTAACCCAACACCAGTCCACAAAGTCCTTCACCTCACAAAACAGAGGCAATGATGCCGACTGCAGGAGGAAAGCTGAGTCCGTGAATGTGTAAGCATCTCAGCACTGGCAAGGGTCTCCACACGGCTGCTCCAGCACCCAGGGCTGCATCGGGATAGATCCATGCGGCTTCTCCTTGGGGATGTCTTGGAGGAAGTCAATCTTGCAAGCTGAAGCAGGGAACTGCTAAGGCAGCTGCACCCGATACAACCATCACAAAGCAAGAGACCCAAGGACTAGAAAGGCCGAGGCTCACCACCCATTTATCCCTCCGCCTTTCAACCAGCACCACATGTGATTATTGGCCAGGCTGGCACAATTAAACTAACTCAGCCCTCTTCAATAAATGGTCATGGAAAACTGGATATCCATCTTCAAAATAAAACAGGGTCCGTACCTCATCCCATGCACAAAAATGAACTCAAGGTGGATTAGAGACCTAAGTATAAAACCCAGAGCTATCAGCATCATCAATGAGAAAATTGGAGCAAATCTAAGTGCCTAGTGCAGGGCATGCACAGGCTACCAGATATAACAAAAGAAGAACACATAGTGGAAGACAAAATAAATGAATGGGACCTGGAAAAAAATAAAACACCATGGCACTAGCAATTCTAGAAGGGTAGGGGGAAGGTGGAGAGGGGAGGGGAGGAAGGGGGAACTGATCACAATGATCGACACATAACCACACACACACACCCTCCAGTGGACAAACAACAGAAACCATGGGGGAAGGGAGACAGCAGTTGGCATAGGTATGGAAACAATAATTTATCATTTGTCAAGGGGTCATGAGGGTGGGGGGGAGGGAGGGAGAAATGAGGAGCTGAAACCTATGAAAGTGTGTAAGCCAGCTACTTCATTCCTTTATCTCTTCCTGCTCCATTTCGGATATCCAATTTCTAAATTGCCCAACTCTATCAACTCAGTACTCTGGAGAGCCAAGAAAGTTATTAATCTAAAAAAAAAAATCTTCATTCCAATTGCAATGCTTAGTATCTGGATCCATAAGCAAAATCGAGTCTAGAGAAAGTCATCCATCAAAACTACAGCAATATGCACCAACTGACAAGGTCAACATTTTTTCTCCTTTGTGGAGATTCTGGTCAACTCAGCCCCAGCCATCCACTAGGTCAAATGTGCACCAGTAGCTAGTTTCGGAGTTCACACACACATCCCTGCACTTTAGACCATCTGACCCCTTCACATATCACATACTTTCACTACCCCCTAGCCCCTTGGGGCTAGGTCATGTCCTTAGGCTCATGCCCAAGTAACTTTTTAAACTTCAGGCCACCGTTCCCACTTATGTCTCTTCTCCTCAGACAGGTTAGCAGGGACCAATGGGATATGTCCAAATACCCTGTCTCTTCACTGCTACAATTCCCCCACTTATATTCTACAAGTTGATCCTGGTGGTCACCATGATATCATGCTGTGGGCTCTTTAGCGCTCTTTAACCTTCAGTCCTCAAAGGGGGTCTTCTGTTATAGGCACAGATTTTTCCAGCCTAGGCACAGCCAAAGGCAAACTGTGTACTCAAATTTAAAAAGCTAAAGTCTCTTTTTTTTCTCCTCCTGAAAGTCTTTTCCTTCCAAGCTAAAAATCTATTCTCTCAATAGTTCTTGATGGGCATGAATTCTCATCAAATGCAAATGTCCTGACACTCAAGGCTTTGCTTGGAGTTCACCTTGTCCAAGTTCTCTTATGCCCCTTTAGCTTAAAAAATGGAGAGACATTTTGTATCTCTCCATGTTTCTTCTGGGCAATTTCCTACCTCTCCCCTTTTAGCAAACCCACTGAAGCCTAGATTGAAAGTGGGCTTACAAGCTCTCTTGAATCATAATTCCCAATATTAATTTCTATCACACATGTATGTGTAGTTTACAACACTATGTAGGAATGTATATAGTATAATCAGCTAAACACATAATCCTTTTAAAACATCCAAGGTGAATTTTTAAAAATAAAATACAAGCCTTTAATCACATAGATCAGCTTTTTAGCTTCTGTAAATTTATAAACAAAAACGGATACATAAGGCAATGTACTTTTAAAAACTAAAATGGCTTGGTTCCAAGTTTACCAAGGTGAATTTTTATCTTTTCTAGACTACTCGTTTGTATGCATATGACCTTGGGCCTCTGGCAGAAGGTCTCCAGCAGGCTTGGCACTGTATCAACCATTTTGCTGAAATGGTCTGGCTTTTGCCCTCATCCACCCTAGAAGCAGCCTTTCTCTCCTCAGTTTCGGTTTAAACCATCTAGCAACCAGAATCTCGCCTCCCATGCCCCTCCTTCTTTCACAAAACCCCACGCATCCCTGAGTCTGGAGCCATTGCAATGGACCCCACTCCAGAAGCTAACGGATTCCATGGCATGGAGTCATCCTGACCACACAAACGGGAAGGAGAATCCAATCCCACCCAAAACGTAGAGACCAAACATTCCTCCCACCTCTATCCTTACTCTGTGTTGCTCTAGGACCCTACTCCAAAGTGATAGGTTGGGGTTATATTGAGACAGCCCAGTGACACTCATATATCAAGCAACCAGGCCACAAAGCCACAGCATGGTTAAGCCCAGATGGACTCAAGTTCATGGGGCAGATGCTAAGCTACAGGTCCTCTTGACACATGGTTTCTAATCAACGAACCAGGAAACAGAAGAGTAAACCAGAGAAATACTGGTAGAGGCCAAGGGTCTTGGATCCAATATCAGTAAGCAATATGACAGGCCACGGGCAGCTTCCAGGGTCAGTAAACACAGGATCCAGGTAAGCAGGTAAAAGTAAAGAGAGCAAGTCTCCACATATCTATTTATAGATATGAAATAGGCCATACCCCCCATATCTATTTATAGATATGAAATAAGCCATAACCCCCCACATATCTATTTATAGATATGAAATAGACCATACCCCCAGCTATCTATTTATAGATATGAAATAGGCCATACCCCCCACATATCTATTTATAGATATGAAATAGACCATACCCCCCACATATCTATTTATAGACATCAAATAGGCCATACCTCCCACATATCTATTTATAGATATGAAATAGGCCATACCCCCCCAAGGAGACATCAGGCTGTGACCTGTATCTTATGGGAAAGGAATCACTGTCAAACTGAGGACCCTGGTCCAGCCAAGTTGACATAAAACCCAGCTATCACAGTCTATCCTTCGTCAACTTGGCACCTGTATGCATTTCTTTAGCCACAAACAATCTCCAAACAAGGGCAATAAGGAAATCATACATGTGCCTAACATGATCAAATTAACATGCGCACACAGGAAATACACTAACTCCATTTATATAACCAAAAAATATTTCCTAACCATTTCAATCTTGTTAATATTCACCTACACCTTAATGCTATAATTCTATCAACACCTCCCCCCCACCCTCTCTTCCCCAAGCCCATTAGAAAAAGCTGAAACTATTCAGGGGAGATCCTTTTTTGCTCCACTCATTTGTCACTAGAGACCCACAGGAACGTTTGTAAGCCAGCCACTTCATGCCTTTATCTACTCCACTTTGAATGTCCAGTTTCTACATCGCCTATCCTTATAAACTCAATACTCTGATTCTGTCTCATGATCTCCTTGCCTTGGGCCCTGGTCTCAGGAATTCTGTTACTGCCTTTGAGATAGTGCTCCTGCAGCCAAGGGAATGCCAAGCAAAACTGACCAGTCCCCAATGAGTGTGTCCTACATGCTATTTGCATAGTTCCACCCAACCATTCTGTGGGAATTAGAGAGACATGGACCCAAGAACCATATTGAGATTTCACTTCATCACAGAGTGCTAGCTCAATTCTTCAAACTATTTTCAATAAGTACCTCTTCCATACTAGTTATTCAATTTAACAACCGTCTTGAACATGAAGAAGACATTGTTTGGGAATATAGCTGTCTTACCTACCTCAAAGCAAAACAGAACTGAGGCTAGATTCCTCGGGAGGACTTCCTGAAGAAACTGTACCAAGAGATGATTATGTAATTTCCGCCAATGCTTAGCCTTTCGCTAAAAACTAAAGTTCTGCTTGAAGAAACAGAAGGCACAGGAGAACCAATTCCTGGCTTAGTCCACAGTCCTGGCTTTTAAGCCTTGGACCGGGAAACCCTGGTTGGTCCAGCAGATGGCGTAAGCGCCCGTAATTCCCCTCCAGGCCTCAAGAGGGCGCTCTAGCCAACAATCCTCTGACCCGGACCCCTCCGCCCGCCTCTACGACTCTTTCTTCCGCTTCCGGAGCATACGTCTGCTCGGACCTGCTTGAGTCTGATCTGGCTCCCGATCGTGGGGAGCATGGCAGCGTCTTCGGGTGCGGAGAAGGACAAGGAGCGGCCGGGCGGCAGCTCCGCCGCAGTCGGCGGTAACAGCACACGCGAGCGGCTCTTGTCTGCGCTGGAGGATCTGGAGGTCTTATCGAGGTAACGTCGCCAGGTGGGGCCGGGCCGGATCCGCGACCCTAAAGCCGGCCGGCCCTGCGGCTGCGCGCGTTCGGGGCTCGGCGGGGCCGGCAGTCTGGGAAACTCCGGTCTAGGCCAGGACAGTTCTTGTGCACCGATGTGCGTGGCTTTGGCCTTTGCAGCGTGTTGGACTCCGGAGCAGTTAGTAACGAGCGTGACTACGGAACCCCAAGACTGTTGGAACCGTGGCGGGCCTTTGAGATCTCGTCCGAACCCTGTAGTCCAGATACTCAAATTTAGGGGACACCGACAGGGGGGCCAGGAGTGAAAGGAGAGCCTGAAGCCGGTCCAGAGGAACCCTTTGCCAACGGAGGGAGACAGACGTTCACACTGGCCTGTTCTCATCGGGAATCCATGTCAGATGTCAGTCCCAGTTGCTTCGGAATAATGAGCTGCGAAAACCCGCTGGAATAAGTACTCATGATGGGCCGGCGGTATTGTAAGTTCTTTGGATGGCTAGGGCCCAGCGTATGTGGCACGAAACAAACAAAAAGCAACAACAAACACTTAACGTTCAGTGGCGTCGAATCCATTCCGACTCGTTGCGACCCTGGCATTGGGGTGCTAACCCCAAGGTCGGCCGTTTGAAACCTCCAGCTGCCCCCACGGAGAACGAGGAGACTGTACTCCCCTAAAGCTTTAGAGCCCACAGGGCAGTGTGTTCTGCGCCCTATAGAGTGACTAGGAGGGTGTGGCAGAGGTAGGAACACCCAGAGGTGGGTCTTAATGTTCACATTCGGTTGCCCTTGATGTTAATCAGTCTGGTTGAGACACCTCACATGGTTGTCAAAGTTGGACTGGTTCACCCTTCTAACAATGCTGTCTGCCCACCTCTGTACCCCGCTGTCAAGTCATTAATGGACCGTTAGCAGCCAACCTCCCTCACCAGTGCTCCACGATCCAACACGGCTTTTATTCGCTTACCTCTGGTTTCATGTATGCCTTTCCGAGTTTGTCTTGTCGCCTGCATGAGAATTTAAGTGACTGTGCACTTTTTTTTTTAATAGGTGAGCTTATTTATTCAAGGCTCTATTTTATTTTTGACTGGACGCCAGAGGTGGAAGCCCCCAGCGAGGACAGCCTCCTTCTCTTGGCAATCTGTTCCAGCCGTTTCTCTTTGGCCTCCTTCATTCTCTTGGCCGAAAGCTTGGCTTATTCGGCGGCCTCCTCCTTGTTCTCGGTGCGCTGCTTCTTCAGGACAAGGCGCCGGCGCTTGTGCTGGAGGACGTGTGGAGTCACAAGACGCTGAATCTTGGGCGCTTTGGTCCTGGGTTTCTTGCCTTCTTTGTTCAGGGGCTTTCTCCCAACATACTGGCGGATGTCATCTTCTTGAGAGAGATTGAAGAGCTTGCGGATTCTGCTGGCTTTTGTGGGCCCCAGGCGACAAGGCACAGTTGTGTCAGTCAGTCCTGAGATCTCTTTCTCCCCTTTCTTTACAGTAACCAAGTTGAGAAGGCTCAGATTGGCATCCACAATGCAGCCCCGGACAGATTTGCGCTTCCTCTCCCCAGTTCTCCTTGGTCTGTAGCAGGAGTGCCCCTTCCTCAGCAGTAGGCGGACAGGGCCGTGGGTCAAGACACCTTGCTTCATGGGAAAGCCTTGCTTGTCATTCCCACCGCTGATGCGGACAACATAGCCTTTCCATTCATTGCCCAGTGCCTCGTGGGCGACTTCCGCGGCCTTTCGCTTCTCATAAAAGGTACAAAATTTACGTTCATCGTCCACTTCGATGAGTTTCTGGCAGCCAGGGGCTGGGAAGGAGATGTTCAGCTTCATGGTGAAGCAGCCGACCCGCACCGAGACACCACGGAAAAGAGAGGCCTCCGTGCACTTCTATAACGCAAGCATCTAGCACGGTGCCTAGTAAGTACGTTGTGGGCGGGCACTCGGTACGTATTGAAGGATGAGTTAATAAGGACGTTTCATCGCTATAGCTTGATTGTCAGCTAGTTCTTTTTGGCACAGTGACCCTGACTATTCTTCCCATAGTTTGAAAATATGCTGAGCTCGTTAGCACTTTTGCTTTTTGAAATCTAGGCGTTTGCACATTCATTATAGTATTTTATTTTTTCTTCGAGAGCTACCCTTTGAAATTTTCTGTTCTATTGGCTCTGTTACTCCAAGGTTAAGAGCAAGTTTCAGGATCTCTTCTAATGTACATTCTGGTCTTTTCTTCCCTGTCTTTTTCATGACCTTTTGTTTTCTTCATGTAGTTCCTTGTTAGTCTTAATCGGGAAGCTTCCACAGAAGCCTGTGCAGCATCATAGCATCAGACAGCCCATCACTGATGGCTGGTCCCCATGAAGCCAGGTAGGTAGGGAAACAGGTTTAAGCTAGGCCATCCTCAAATGAGTCTTGTTCCAAAGTTTGCTTCTTTAAGTCGGTTTAGTACGTAAATCAGAATGGTCCGGTTTGGTTCATTTCTACAATCAGTAGAATGTCGTGTACCTTTCTGTGCATAAAAAGCATTAAATACTTCCAGATGCCTAAAAACATTTACCGTATATACTCGTGTATAAACCGAGTTTTTTCAGCACATTTTTTTCCATCGTTTTCTTGGGGGCTCATACAACTCTTATCACAATCCATACATACATCAGTTGTGTAAAGCACATTTGTGCATTCATTGCCCTCATCATTCTTGAAACATTTGCTCTCCACCTAAGCCCCTGGCATCAGCTCTTCCTTTTTTCCCCTCCCTCCCCGCTCCCCCCT